GTCACTGAATTGTACATGTAGAAATTTTCAAAATGGTGTAACTTTGGCTATGTATATTTTCACCAAAAAAAAGTCCTCAAGGTCGAGAAGGGAGAGTGTTGACATGTTGTGGGGCTGTTAACCAATGTCATAAAACAATATGTGTCCTGACTGTTTAATGAGAAACTATTTGTCCTGTAAACCTTCATCTAAAGTACAATAATAAAATTTAAAAAAAAAGAGTTCAAGGCACATCAGATTTCTTTACAATCAGATTTTTTTAGTTTGTTGTGGACCTTCTTGTTAAATTATCTGACAGAAAAGAACTTCCTCTTTTGGCTAAGCATTGATAAGCAGTAAATCTTTCATTTAAAGCTGTACACATTCAATAATTGGAATAATTTTCCACAGATTAACTTCAGACTCCCTACGTTTGAAACCTTGCCTCTCCTCCACCATCCACATATTTCTGATCCTAGAACATAGGTCACATTCAAGTAGCTATAAGACATCTGACTCTGCACCTTTGTTTTACAGTGCTGGGTGGGTCCACACAATGGGTGGTAGGAGTATTTCTGGAAGCCATTCCTTCTCTGGGACAGCTGGTAAGATCTTAACTCTACAAAATATAGTCCACTAAACTCAAACCAAATGTAACCAACCCTAACTAAATTTACCCTTAGCTAGATTTCAAAAATGCCTGCTAGCCACTCCAGCACCACTAGACAAGGGGAACAGCGATGGAAGGGAAGTCTGTGAGGAAAGAATTAACAGGTGAAAGTTTACAGTTAAAACATGTTCCTTTCGCCCCAGACACCCTTTTAGCTCAGTACGGAAGTCACTCCTGAGGTTCACCCTTCAGTCAAAGATTAGACAGGCCCATAAAACAAAACGAGACTAAATGGACACACCAGCCCAGGGGCGAGGACGAGAAGGCAGGAGGGGACAGGAAAGCTGGTAGTGGGGAAACTAAGGTCGAGACGGGAGAGCATTGACATGTCGTGGGCTTGGCAACCAATGTCACAAAACAATATGCATATTATTTGTTTAGTGAGAAGCTAGTTTGCTCTGTAAACCATCATCTAAAGTACAATAAATACAAAAAATCCTACTTTTACAAAAGCATACGACTATGTGAACATATTGCCAGGTTTCCTGCCAGTTCTTTGAACGGGTTTGTGCAAATAAGTGGCCTTGTAGCTAAACCTTCACTAACTTCACAGTACATCTGCCTCTGGGTGTGGAGCCATTCTAATCACAGGGTAAATTTGTCAATTTTCATAGGTAGTTTTAGGGCCAGTGGATACACTGATTACAGCTTCAGTTGAGGCAAATGTGTTCTAGCAGGAAGAGATCTTTGCCTCTTGGCATCAAAGAATTCCCAGCTGTTTGTGTAGATTAGTGGTTCTCAAACTTTTTGGTCTCATGATCCCTTCACGCTCCTAAAAATTATTGAGGACTACAAAAAGCTTTTATGTGGATTAGGAATTAAAACAGATCGTTTAAAATATGTTTATTAATTCATTTATAAACAAAAATAAATCTACTACATGTTAACATAAATAACATTTTTAATAAATAATAGCTATATTTTCCAAAGCAAAAAAGAATCTAGTGAGAAGAGTAACATTATTTTACAATTCTGCAAATCTCTTTAAAGATTCTCATATCTGCTTCTTTGAATCTGCTTCTTCATTAGATTCTAGTCTCTGGAAAACACCAGAGCTGTCATGAAAGAATGAGAAGGAAAAAGGCAAATAACATTTTAGGATGCAAAAATAATTTTGACCCTGTGGACCCCCTGGCCACACTTTGAGAATCACTGGTTTGGATATCATTGTATCAACTTTCCGGTGGCCTAGGGCTCCCAAAGCACCCTCCTGCTAATTATTTCTCCATCTATACGATCAAGCCCACTTTTTCCCAGCTAAAATCAAGTCTTAATTACTGCTACACTTTTTGGCATACATGGAAAACTTTAGAAACAACGTTTTTTAATGAATAACAAGTCTCAGGGAAGTCATTCTTCTCTTCCACTGGCAAGGGAAAGATTATCTCCATTGTCTGCTTTCTGATACTGAAGCTTTCTTCTCTTAGGAATATAATGACTAAGTGAAATGTTAGACTAAGACCAACACAATGTTGGGGATTTTATATAATTACTTAATCTTACAACAACATAATCTAATATTTACTGAGTCCTTTCTGTGTGCTAGTCATGTGGTAAATGCTTTACATACATTATCTAATTTAATTCTCACAATAATCCTACGTTGTTCTTAGCTGCCGTCCAGGCTGCCCGACTTACGGCGACCCCCACACAACAGGATCCAACTGGTGTGATCCATAGTTTTCATGGGCTGATTTTCAGAAATAGATAGCTAGGCCTTTCTTCTTATAAGTTAGGTACTACTGTCATTTTCATTTTACTGATGAGGAAACTGAGATACGGAGAGGTTGTTAATGTCCACCGGTATGCGGGACTAACCTGAGATTTGAATCCAGATACCTGACCCAGGAGCATGAAGTCCATTATCCATTGATAAAGTATAAAGGCAGTTCAAATAAAATGACCTGAGGGGTGTGAGAGGGAAGTTAGTAAGGCAAAAACCCTCAGGGCAGAGACAGCAGCAGTACCAAGACTGTAAGTATTTTCCCACTCCAGGTCTCCTTTCTGCTTTATTTTCTACACTTGCATGTTCTTTTTCTCATTTTCATGGTATTTCATCGCTGGTGGCTTAGCTGCCTGACGCCGACCCTGAAATCAAGGCGTTAAACAATCGGATGAAAGGGAGCAACGAAAGCCGAAGTAACCAAGGTAACGGTGGCGTGGCGGGAACCCTGCACAGGCGCGCTACATCCCAGTCCCGCTGGCCAACCCCACCCACGCCAGTTCGGGTCCCTCCTCTCGGCCTGAGACTCCGCGGGCGGGTGGAGAGGACTGGTGTGGGCTGGGGGCGGGGGCGGGGGCGGGAGGGAGGCCGGGTCTGGGCGCCTGCGCAGTCGCTGGGGCGCTGGTGTGATCGAGCTCACGTAGCGAGGGTGTAGCCGCCTCCTCCTTAGCGCTGCCGTCGCGGCCTAGAGGTTATAAAAGGGCTAACTGGCTCCCTCTGCTGCCCAGTCGTGCCGCCAGCGGGCTGAGGGAAGGGAGTGGGTAGCCGGCCCGAGCACAGGCGACGGGGGACTGAAGAGCGCGCCGCCCTCCCGTCTCACTTCCCAGGTGAGACGCTGCCCCGACTTTGGGGACTGTGGCTGAGGCCCTCGGGCAGCCGTGGCCCGTCTCAGACGGCTGTGGCTGTCCGGCCCCAACCCCTCAGATGAGATGGCTTGGGGGCGGGGGTTTTCCAGTTTACCACAGCAGCCTCAGTACGTTCTTCGCCGAAGACTCGGCCCCTCGCCCAGCGCCCCACGACCCTCGGCGCCCCAGAGGCCTGGATGCCCTTCTCCCTGCTCCCCTTCCCACCTTCGCCGCTGTCCGCGCCTCCGACTGTAGAGGCTGCAGCAGCCTCTGTCCCCGCCCCGGGACCATGACTTTCTTGAATATTCCTTCCCGAGAAGGAATCACCCAGTTGATTTTTCCGACCTCCTCGCATACCTGGTCCTCACTACTAGGCTAAGGGGAGCGTGAGGGCGGCGCGTGGGTTTTTGGCTTGCACAGCGGCAGATGGTGAGCATGTGGCCAGGGAGAGCGGATTTTAAAGTTTAGAACTCCAGGCATTTTTGCCCTATTGAAAAGTCGTCGGGTCTGGGAAGTGGATCTCCCCAGAGAAGTTCAGGCTGAACTCATCTGTTGCGCCCTGCGCTGCTGCCTCGGCAGCCAGACGTCGTCCCGGGCGGCGAGTTTAGGGCTGCCCGAGCGGAGGAAGTTCGCTGTCAGCTCGCTCAGGCGTTGGGAAAGCCAGTCTTCTTCCTTCCCTCTTCTTCCCCATAATTTTTTTTAAAGGCACACGCGCTTTCTCTTTCTTTCTTTTAAGCAGAAGGTTCGCAGCTTTTAGAAGTCCACATCAGTAAAACAAATTCTATGGTTGTATGAGAATTTGGAATTGAATTAAAATGCCTGGCCCCCAGATGTATGATTTAAGGGGGAAGAAGGATAGTACGATAAGTGTGAGACGATTTCTCCTAAATAACTGCATCTGTTAACTACAATTCAGTTTGTGGATACTAACACCTTATACGTTCCGGATAGAGTGGAGAAGACCCTTGGAATTTTGCACTGTTTTCTTTAAAAAAAAAGGAATGAAGAAGAAGATAGATCTCCTTTTAGTAATTGATCTGAAAGGCCAAGGAGACTTGCCGATTTCAACTTAACTGTTTCTGGTTTTTCCAAGAGCTGTGGCTCTTGGACTTTGCTTTTGGAATGCACTCGAAGGGATGAAATAGTCTGTACGTGAGTGGGGGAGGGGAAAAGACGTGGCAGCCGTGTTCTTTCATCAACTTTTGCTCACTTCTTGAGGTTCTGGAAAGAAATGCATTTCTCTGTACTGGTTTAGATGTAGTTTATGAACGAGGCTAGCTTTTTCCTAAAATAACGGATGAAAAATTCCTTCTGCATAGCAGGAACTTTGGAAGCTAATTTAAAAAACATTTTTAAGGGATTTTTCTGATCACATTTCTAGGGAGAAGATGAATACCTTAAGCAGGAAATATCTAAGAAGCTGAAAGTGAACAACCTTAAATATGTTTTGCCTTGATTTGAAATTTTAATAGACCTTCAGTGATTTTTTTTTTATCTTTGGCCCTTAGCTGTGAATGTAATTTCAGAACCTTAAATATGAGATTCAAATTTTACCTTTCTGTTTAGGGGGAAAAAGATCTTATCACTTACCTTTAAAAGTCATGTCAATATTGGTTTTGGAACATTGTTCCTTATGTCCTACAAGTGTTTTACTTAATTAATGGCAAATATATAACATAGAGTAACTAGGAAAAGACTACTCTGTCTCTCTTAGATGTATAATATTTCCATTGATATGTTAAAAGGGTTTTGAGTACTGAAAGCCAGGACTTTGGTAAATGATAATTTCATTGGCCATTTTGTTTTGGTAACTCAGGTAGTAAAACAGATAAAAAATATGTACAGTTTTCTAGTTATTGCAAAAAAATTTTAGGTAGTGCAGGAGACTATTGGAAAAAGAAAGCTGTGTATCACCTAGGTAGCCTAGGTTGTTGCAGGTGAACCTTGTCTTTGGTAAGGAGATGTTATCCTTTTCTATTACTGTAGAGTGGATTGTATACTGAAAAATACTATATTTCATAGAGCAATTAATTCCCAATTCCTGCTTTTATTCCAGGGATGCAGCAAGAGTTGGGACAGACATAAAGCTGTGAGCCTTAATTTCTGTGGAAGGAATGCCTTATTTTACTGAGCTATTAATTATCAACTGTAATGTAATTATTGCCCTAAGATTGGAAGGTATACCCTGGAAGATAAAAAGTGATTGGTTCACAAACTATTTTGGGGTCATGAAATCCTTTGAGAATTTGATGGAAAGTGTGAACGCTGGGTCAGAAAATGCAACTATGCACGTTTACATGAAATTTTATATACCATTTATAGACACTCCTCTCCCCAAGCTCATCCATGAACTCTATCATAAAAAAACCAAAAAAGTAAAAGAAATATGAAGCTAATTTTTAAGGATATCTAGGCGTATGGAGGAAATCCTGGTTGCATAGTAGTTAAGAGCAACGGCTGCTAACCAAAAGGTCGGCATTCGAATCCACCAGGCTCTCCTTGGAAGCCCTATGCGGCAGTTCTGCCCTGTCCTGCAGGGTCACTATGAGTCGGAATCAACTCGATGGCAATGGATTTGGTTTGGTTTTGGTTTAGGCATATTGAGGCAGTATTTCTTTAGTATTACAGAAAATTAAGCTGGGCTTGTAAGTCATACTGGATTTGGGTATACAGATGACCCTAATAAACCTTAGCTAAAAGAATTTTAACAAAAGTTAATTCATTGGTAGAAGAATTGTTTAACTGCCAAATTGTCCATGCAATGAAAGTGTATCATACTGGCCTCTCCTTACTCCCCCCCTCCCAATATATTGTAACGTATCTTTGGTTTTTCACTCTGAAAGTGGAACAGGATTGAAGATGAACAAAAATCAGTTATATAGGCCCTTGGGGTTAAGCTTTGTTGCTCTTCTTACAGTGACATCTTGACTCTTATAATTAAACCATAATGATACACTTGTGTATGTATAACATACGAATATATAAGAGACAAGTCAAAGCGTGTATGTATATTTGTGAAACTAGCTAAATCTTAATTCATGTATCTACTCAATGAATTTTATTTGTATAAATTGAAGCCATCCTGTCACTAGCTTTCCTCTAGTCAGATAAATATTGTTCCTCAATAAAAATTTATGAAATTCTAAAGGACTCTTATTTAGGTTACACCAGCAGTTTTTGAATTTTGTATAATTAAAAACATTTCTTGTGTTTCTTTGGGTGTTCAGTTTGACTGTTAGTGTGTTTGGTTAGGCATTGGCAAAAAATGCAGTACAGAGATTTGATGCTTCTAACATGATTGTCATCAGTGGATGAATACCATCTTGGACTTCTTCCCCCTCATGCTTAATGTTTCATACAAATGTGTCCATGGTTTGGTGGTTTACATATTTCTCATTTAAATAGTAGTATATCAAAGTAATATACTCAGCCTTTCTCTTTTACTGGGCATTTGAGCTGTTTCAGTATTATAGGTAGTGCAAAGAGAAGTCTGTAATTTAAGTAGTTTATTTTGTCTATATGAATAACTTCAGTAAACTTTACCCAGTTTTCTTCCTTATTAGGAAAAGAAACATGTTACAATAAAACTTTGTTACTATAGATTAGTTAGCGTTTTCTCTAGTTTTACACGGAGTCCCTGAGTTGTGGGTCTGAAAAAGCAGCCATTGAAATTCCTATGGGGCACACATGGGGTCTCTGTAAGTCAGAATTGAGCCTGTACCAATTGGTACTGGTATTATATAAATGAAAGCATATAGTATGTACTTTATTTTTTTTGTTGTCTAAGTGTAAAAAGTTATACTCAGGGTAATTATTTTGAGACTCAGCCAAAATAAATACTTTGTTAATGGTGGGAAGGTTCAATATTGTTAAGATGACAGTTTTCTCCAGGTTGATCTGTAGATTCAATGCAATTCCAGTAAAAATCCCAGCAGGCATTTTTGTAAATTAACAAGCTGATTCTGAAATTCACGTGGAAGTTCAGGGTACCTAGGAGAGGCAAAACAAGTTTGAAAAGAACGGAGTTGGAGGGCTGACACTATCTGATTTCAAGACTTATAAATTAACCACTGCACCACCAGGGCTCCCATATAAAGTGACAGTATAGTGTGTTATAAGCTTAAAGAGAGAGTCCAGAAATAAGCCCACATACTTATAGGGACAACTGATTTTTGACCAACGTACAAAGGTAATTCAGTGGAGAAAGGATACGCTTCTAAACAAGTGATATTGAACAACTGAATATTCATATGTAAAAAAAAAAAGAACTTCAAGTTATACTTTGCGCCATATGCAAAAAATAACTAAAAATGGATCACAGACCTAAATATAAAACCTGAAATAATAAAACATCTGGAAGAAAACAGAAGAAAAAATTTTTGACTTTGAGGTAGGCAAGGATTTCTTAGATAACAACACCAAAAGCATGATCCATGAAAAAACTGCTGCACTTCAAAATACACTGTTTAAAGAGTAAAAAGACAAGCATGGACTGGGAGAAAATATTTTCCTATCATATATCTGACAAAGGATATATATGTATAGATATCTATATCTATATATATATATGGAGCCTTGGTGGCACAGTGGTTAAGAGCTTGACTGCTAAACAAAAGGTTGGCAGCTCAAATCTACCAGCTGCTCCTTGATAGGGCAGTTCTACTCTGTCCTGTAGGGTGGCTATGAGTTGGAATCTACCTGACATCAATGGGTTTGGGTTTTGGCTTATATATTCTGAGGAGCAACTGGTGGATTCGAACTGTTGACCTTTTGGTTAGCGGCCGAGCTCTTATAACTACTGCTTCACCAGGACGCCATATAAGTCTATATATATATATATATCCAGAATATATAAATAACTTGCCAAACTCAATAAGTACAGAAACAATCCAATTAAAAATTTAGCAAGAAATTTGAGTAGACACTTTACCAAAAAAGGTATATGGATGGCAAATAAGCATACAAAAAGATGATCAATATCA